TCTCAGGTTTGTAATCACAGGGTCTCTGGCTGAGGGTATCTCTCTCTCTCTGTTTTATTTAAGGATGTTTTTGTTGGCTGGAGCGCAGACCACAATCAGACCTCGGGTCTCTTTCCCAAGCGAGATAACCACCCACACATCACTTCAGCCGTTTCTGCGTCCGCTCTCTTGCTCATTCTCCCCCGTTTCCCCGAGTTATCCCGAGGCTACGCAGTAACTCTATAAGTAACTGTGATTTCTTTCAGAATGCTGGACCCTGACAGCCGAGCTAAATTAATAACAACAGTAAAAATGCTACACGGGTGTCACGTCTACTCAGCCTTACTGCTTACTGCTGTTAATGTCGATTTATCTACTACTACTAATACAATTACTACTACTACTATTACTACTACTACTACCACTACTACTAATACTACTACTACTAATAATAATAATAATAATAATAGAGAATGATACCAGTACCAACAATTCCTTATTCACTGTTTGCATAGATTACTGCCCGACCCGTTCCTCATATTTCGCAGGGCTAGAACGCCCCCTACTGGGATGATTTTTTTTTAATAGAATGAATTTTAATTTCGTGTCGTTGTAATGGGTTGTAAAACGATACGAAATTAGCATTGATTCTTTGAAAAATGTCATTTGTTGTAAAGTATTTCAAATATTTCGGTGGATTAACAGAGCGTTGGCCAGAAACACTGTGTATTTAAGTGTATTACATATTCACAATATTTTAAAAGTGTCTGTTTGTATTGATTGTCAGTATATTTTTCTGTTGTATTTTTTTCGTCTTATTATAACTAGATTTTATTTAAGCTATGGTTACACTCAGAGACGTCGCGTTAATATTTTTTGTTCATCTGCAGGGAATGCTATGCTAGGACACCTGCTGTTTTGTATTTTGCTCTGCCCTTAGCATCTCATGTGAGTTAGTTCTGCTCAGAATTTACAGCATTTGCTGATTACATAGTAAAGCTGATGAACTTTTTGTTTAATGCGCTGAGTTATAAATCTCAGATTGAAATAATCTGCCAGATGAATAACAGCTAACGTCTCGGTGCTGACTGAACCGCTTCGGGCCAATAGAGGGCGCAAACTACGTTAATTAAAAATCTTTGAATAACCGAGTAGCCTAATCGTGACCCTCAGTGTTAAAGTTAAGCTTCTCCCTTGGAACATGCAGTTAAGCAAAATGCTGACATTTAATAATAAGTTTTTAAATGTATTAGTTTTAATAAAGACTGTGACCTAAGTCGTTTTTTCAAATTTTGGAAATTTGGGGAGATTCCAAGGGCAGCTAATAGGTCTGAGCAGGCCTTTGAAGGTGAGCAGATTGTCGTTGTCATTTTATTGTCATGCAGCGCTCTCTGTTTCTTAGTGCTATCTACAAAGCATTTTAAGGCTAAAAGTTGCTCCTAACTTGCCGAAACTCCTAAAAATTATACGCGTGTCAGTCCTGAATGTAGGACTCCTCCTTTTTTTGAGTAAGAGCAATTCATAAAGCCCCTTAGCGCTAAAAGTAGCACATGTGTCTGGGAGAACTAAAAGTAGTCGAGAGGACTCCTAAGTCATTAAGAATATCTCACAAATAGTCGCAGAATGGCTGCTGTCAATCCACGTCGCAATGTCTTGGAAATATCAAACGAACGCTGAATTATTTAAAGGACACCGCCTCAGTCGGGAGGGAATAGGGATTGCTGTGGAGCTTGTGAGGGATCCATTAACATCTCCAACAAACCGAAACAACCCAGTTATAAACAGTGAAACCTGCATATAGTGATCATTAGAATCGATTGTTTTTCTTTTTCTTTACGTCTCAGGCAGATTACCATCTAACTAACATTTGTATATTCATTACATTAATATAAGGTAATAAAACGGACAGTGTATGTACTGTTTCAAAATACAGTACAGCTGTTTCAGACGCTTTTCAAATTACTGAACTGTGTATAATACAGTACTGTACATAAAACTTACCTTTATGTAGTTTAGCTGCTGTGTCTCGTTGGCTCGGTTTTGGCTGTTTATTATAAGCTTTGATGAGTCTATATTTGTCATTGAGGGAAAATGACTGTCTTTTTCCCGTAATGTTTTCTATGCACGCCGCATTAGCCTCAGTAGCCAGCCAGAAGCAGACGGGATAACGCAAGGCAAATTAGGGTTACCAAATTAAAGTAAAAAAAAAAATGTAGTTTTATTTTTTTATATATGTTGTCATTTTTAACAAGACTACTATAAGCGGATTATTTAAACAGTATTTGTACAGGAATGATTCTGTCCCAACAAGTTTGATCCATTTAAGCAGTTGATCACTATAGCCAGGATCACTGTGAGCGGTTTACACTGTATTTGTGTTTATGGGATGTTGCGTGTACATTTTCACCAGTACATCCTGGCCTCTCATCAACCACTCCCTGTGGTTTTTGCAGACAAGCTCATGCATGAGAGCTGATGTCAGCCTTAGTTACGGAGTCTTACTCTTAAAGGAGTTGGCTCTTTTCATAACTAAAAGTTGCTCTCAGCCACTTTGTGAATAGGTTTTAGGGGGAAAAAAATAGTTAAAAACCTTTAGTGTAATTTAGTGTAATTAATCTTAGTGGTAAGATAAAATGTTTTGTCAATACGGGCCCTGATCTCCACTCAGTAACAATATGGAAACAGAACACGGTCCTTGTCATATTTACTACATTTCAAAATATGGGCTTCCTTTAAATATTTTTTGAACAGGTATCAAACATCCATCCATCCATCCATCCTTCTGTCTGTCTATCTACCTTCTAAATACATCCCGAGAGTCTTGCTCAGGGTCACAGGGGACCGGAGCTCTGGATGAGGTGCCGGCTTTAAGCTTCATTTTACATTTTATCCTTTTTCTATTTGTCATGTTCTCATTATTATAACAGAGGGAACCACGACAACATTGGAGGGTCCATCAAAATATGTAGAGCACTGTGTGGTTCGGCCATTTCGGCCTCTGTGCCTTTGGAAGGTCCCTGGTCGGAATCCCACGGTTGGTGGGGTTAGGGTTAGGGTTAGGTAGCCCCGTCACCACTGGGCCCTGATAAATGACTGACACTCAGCTTTGGGCTCACCTGCCTGAGTGTCTGATAGGGAAGCAAGAGGGGGATGTGTAAATGAAGAAAATCCTGGGAGAGGATTAGACTCATCATCAAGCCTACTCAGAAGATGATTGGCTGTCGCCTACCCTCCTTCCACAAACTTCCGGCCCAGATAGTGAATGTCTGCACTTCTGCTATTACCAAAGTACAAAATTAGTACAGCTTGTATCCAGCCCTGCACATTCATTTATTTTAATTTTTTAATCTTGGTTGCAAGGTGGCTGTTGGCTATGAGATGTTTTGTGAGCGTGATTGACGTTAGCGGCAGCCTTCTGTGAGAGCAGCCTGACCTGCCCATGCTGACAGAGGTCATCACACACCTCAGTGCCCTGTGGACCAAAGTGATTCTCAGAGACATTGTTTAGCACTTAAACTCCTCCCTGTGGCCTCAGTACCTCACAGGAAAGCCTAGAAAACTTTTATAGAGCCGCGTGCATCAATCACTGCCATTACTCAACGTCGGGAAGCCAAATTGTCTCCGATGGAGCTCATTATCGAGTGCCAGCCCAGCATGGAGGGGAATCTGGGGACACTAAGTGCCATCTCATGTCACCACAGCTTCACGCAAATGGGCCATTTTTCCTGGGCTTGTCCATTTTTTCACTGTGTTGTTTTTTCTGCTTACTTATTTATTTTCTGGACGCGTGGGTGAAGAGACCGGCTTGTTCTCAAACTGATTAAACTCATTCCCAGGGGAAAGCCAAATAGAGACCCCCCCCCAGTCACCCCCACCCCTATGGCACTCCTGAGAAATGGACTGGGAATGAGATCTGACACCCAGAAATCCTTTGCCGATGTCTTGTACTGATGTCTGCTGCCTATCCAGGCCAAAGTGTGACTGATTCAGCGTGACAAAGGGGGTAACCGCAATCCTGAACTGGACGGAAGGGGTTTGGTGTTGCTGCTACGTTGCATTTATGGAAGAAGGACAAAGTTGCTGTTTTCTGCTCTGTTACATTTGTGTGTGTCAGGGCTAGATGACTCCCTGAGGCCCTCACTACAGGCCCACGGTCCCCATATGAGAGTCAGGCCAGACCTCCATTAAGTTAGACAGTAAGCCACACCCTGCTGCTCAGAGACTCAGCTTTGATATGCTAGCAGAGCCTGTCAGGTGGCAGCAAATTACACTTTATATCTGTTTATATCAACACAAGACCCTCGACAGGCGGTGATCTCCAGTCACGCCAAAAGTCAGGATCTCAATTACAGCATTGGTGTTCCAGGGGCACTGAGCACTAATCACCAATACTGCAGCCCTTTAACATCCACTTAAGAAGTGTGTGAAAACACTTGACATTATGTGAAACTGGGAGAATACTGGTAAACTATGCAGACCTGATGGTTTCCAGTCTAAGGCCAAGGAGAGTGACCCTTCATTCTCCTGGTACAATATAAGGCTTTTTAAATGGGTTCAGATAAGGCTTCAGATAAAAAAACATTTAAAACAATAAGAACTCAGAAGTATGTTGGAGGACACATCTATTCAATGTTCATTTTCAAGTTAACACCAAGGAGCTTTGAGCAGAGGGGTGGTGCTGTGGTTAGCAGGATTTGATTGTTTGGGCTGCAGAGCGAAAATGCTATTTGTCTGTTTACTCAGCTCACCAATAAAGTAGAAGGGTTTTAAATTATTAAATAAACAGAATTCGACAGACATAAAATCATAGTTTTACCCAAACATAAACATAGTCTAAACATAATATTATGTAGCGATAAATGTTCAAACGATTCCCATTCTTCATACACGCAGAAAACGAAACAGAGCTGAAATATTTGAAATCTACATAAATCAAAAAGAGAAGTAAGAAGACCAGTAGAACTACATGTCCCATGATTCCACAAACCCGACACGTATTATGCGCATTACGTCGGAAGCACGTCGTCTCTGTAGTAACCCAGCCGGCCCTCGGCAGTAGGCGCCGTGAGAGCCGGGGAGTTCTCTCGGAGTTGGTGACACTGACTTTCGGGTGTCAGAAATCGCGGTCAATCGGTGGTTTTTAGCGGACTGGACGGCGGGTTGCTGAGGCGGAGAGGCCCTCTAAACGAGCCAAGATGCTGAATATGTGGAAAGTGAGGGAGCTGGTGGATAAAGCGTAAGTATTGCCGTCGTTTCCGAGGTGAATTTGTGCGCTCGGCTCGGAGGCCCGAGTCCTCCCGGGCGCTGACGTCACGCCGGCGGCCCTGCGCGGCTTCCCTGACGGCCCTTAGTGTGCGAAGCTCCGCTGTTAAATATCCTCAACTCTGTCAGCTTCTCCGCGCTTTCGTACCTGAGTTTGTAACCTCAAACTACGTCGACGTATGTGGACATGCCAACGGCAGCCGGTAGCCCTGCTGGCTATCAGCGACGCCCCCCCGGTATCCCCCTTCCCGGTTTATTCCTGCTATAAGTTCATTATTGTTGTTATTAATAACAGCAGGTTCGCGTTGTCAGTCTCTCGGACAGCTGTCCTGCCATGCCTAGCCGCAGACGCTCCTCCTAAACATCTTATTAATAGACCAGGCCCGGCGTAGGGAGACCCTGCCGCCTTTTGCTGCTGCTGCCGCTGCTGTTCTTCTTCCTTCTCTGGTTGAACATAACTCTCTCCGGGTAAAAAACACGTGTAATCCTAACCCCGATACCCGATCTCCGTTTTTTGATCCCACTGGTGCTGTTGCTACGTGGCTTGAGGTGGTTTTGCTGTCGCTTCCGGGGGCCCGATCGCTGACAGGTTTCACTCCCCCTAAAGTAGTGCCGCTGAAAGCCCACTTAAGGCCAGGCAAACTGCGGTTCCGCCGCCTTTGTTGGACGTAGAGAGCTGCCAGCGCGGTTCGCGGCGGATTTTACAGCTTTTGCTTCGTAGTTTCCCGGTAGACGTGTCACTGTACTTTACGCCGGCTTTAACAGGAGGATCACTCCTCTGCCCTACCGGTTTTCTTGTGAAAGAAGCGGCCCTTCTGCGTATTTTGCCACATCCTTTCTCTGTGTGATAGTTATTCCTTATGTGTTTTGCTGTGTGGTTATCAGTAAGTCGTTAATATCTTTAGTCAACATGATCTGTCATGAAAACTTTCTGCTGTCTGCGTGGTGCTCAATTATTCAACAAAATATGGATATTTGGTAGTTCCCGGAAAAATTATGTGTGTATCAGTTCCTTTTGCGTCGAAATCCGTGCACCTGGCTCCGTGCTAAGCAGTCCCCTTGCTCCACTGTTCAGTGTCCGCTTCCATCATTCATATGTCCAGCTTTACTGTTTACTGTGCTGGAGCAGAGACGTTTCTGGTCTTTTTTGTTTGATTTCCTTTCATCAGCTGATTCTGTGCGGGAAAAGCTGAACGTATATGATACTATGAGAGGTTTTGAATTTGTGCCATGTCATGGATGAAGAATGTAATTTTGTCTGTTGCCTTTTACATAAAGCCACGTGATCTGAGTGTAGAGAGTAATACCAGAACTGTAGGAAAATGACAGACGTGTTCAGTGCTAGTGGTGCTTCATTTATCTCTGTGTACTCTAATTGCATAATCTCTAGCACTTTGACCCACAGTGATTGCTGAAATTGGTGCTCCTGTTTGTAATAGTTATATCTCGGTATTCAATCTGCTGCTTGAATGAAATCCATTTATTACAGGTTTATGTTTGGCAAACAGTAATTGTTTAAAATTATTGCTTGTTCTTGTAGGTCTGCTTTTTCTGTGTTCCATCTTTGGCCTTTATACCTGTTTTTTGTCAATCTAAATAACATTACTGATGCTGTGGACCTAGGATATTCAACAACGCGAGTTCTCCTTTAATTGTTGATATATAAATATGTTAATCTTCAGTCCTTGGGGTTACAGGAATTGTCTTGGCCCTGTTGTGCAATGCACCTTTGCGTGTATCAGCGTAAGGTAGCTGCAGACCAGGGTGAGCTTCCAGCTTTGGGGCTTTGATGCTGTCCTGATTTAAAATAAAAAAGCAACAAAAACAAGCCTCTAAAGGCTTTCCTGTGTCTCTCCTTCCTGCACTGAAGATGCACCAGTGTGAAGCCGCCTGTTTGCTTTTGGTCAGTCTCAGGCACAGCTGTAGGGTTAAACCGAAACGTGTCATTGATACAAAGTGATTTTGAAATTAAGCTCTTGTAAATCAGCTCAGTATATTGGCATCATTCACAAATGGGGACCTTTTTTGTGTAAGTAGAGATACAGGGTCCTGTGGGTGTAAACCGGTAGCTGAGCGTTCGTAGGCGGGTGCCTCTGCCTGACCTTACGTCACACCGACTTCCATGAGGCTGCCTCTGATGCTTTCTTATAAATTCCCTACTTGGCGGTTCGCTTTGTCCTTGAATTTTCCGGTGTTTTTGTGCACATGTTGTGACCTGATTGGCATAGAAAGACATTTTGGCTTTAGAGCATGTCTGCTGGCCTGTTTATCATCTCTGTATGACAGGGCTGTTAAATGTGTGACCTTTCAAAGGCTGACATGCGGTGAATGGATCTTAAAAGCGTTATACATTAGAACAGTATGTAAATCTGATTTGTACCTCTGGCTTGGACTGCAATCATATGACTGACTCTAATATTACATTCTGTCTAAGTGGAATATTCCTGCAAGGGACATTACTGTGGCTATAGCAGGCCAAAGGCTCAGGAGTGTGTATGATTACCATGTGTCAGTCACCCCCTTGATACTCTCAATGGGGATCATGAAAGAGTCCAACTGGAAGTGAATTAGAAAGCCGTTGATTGACAGTGTGCCTTAATCCCACCTACCATGAGTCTGAAGATTCAGGGAGCTCTGTTGTGCCCTTTTCAGACTGCAGCCCTCGTAGTGATTCTGTTTCCAGGCAGAGGCTATTAAAAAGCTGTAGCTGTGTGACTTGGCCAGAAGTATGTCTGTACACAGTAAAGCCTGTATGCTGTCTATTTATGCGAACGGTGGCTGGTTTAAGTCCCAACATGGTGTGAAGCAGTATGGTGTTCAGGGCTCATCTGTTTACTCTCTTCCATTTTAAGTAGAACATCCTTTTAACAGAGGACGGAGCCTGAGTGAGTGAGACGCTTTGCAAAGGCTGCGTACCTCCTCGCACTGACGAAACTATAAAGTTTGAGTCAGCAGTCTGCGCAGAAGCAGTTACCATGCGGCTCTTCCGGTAGGTGGGAGAGCCCTTTGACGTGTGTCACCGGGACGAGGCAGCATTCCCCCTCAAGCCAGACAAAAGCACATAACTGAATGTGTTAAGGTGAAACAGAAACATGGTGGGAACAATCGGGGGTCGCAAATGGCACTTCAGCTACCAGTTTCACTTGCGAAACCCAAAGGTTTGGTTGGTTTGCAACGAAGCTCAGAAGCACGGCTGCCTGTTTCCCACGCAGGATGTCTGCACTTGCGGCTGGGGACCTGGTGCCATGGGCAGAAGAGCTGCCCTGGTCATTCCTCTGCCTACCCTCATTTAGGTTCTTTGTCTGCATCTGCGCATGCCCCCGCTTTGTCTGCATCTGCGCATGCCCCCGCTTTGTCTGCATCTGCGCATGCCCTCGCTTGGTGTGCATCTGCGCATGCCCTCGCTTGGTGTGCATCTGCACATGCCCCCGCTTTGCCTGCATCTGTGTATGTCTGCACTTACACACATGCATGTAGCGGGTAAGACTACAGTGAGTGGGGCTTCATGTTCCGTACTGCCCCTTGAACACCCTCCAGTCTGACTGGGAGCTGTCATTGTTGAGAGCCTCTTCTCCCCCCGGCTCTGTCTAACATTAAATCTGTTCTGAACTAAACCAGATTGAGAGTCCTCTGAAACCGGTTCTTCCTGTTTATCTGGTGCGTGTCAGACTTATGATGTCTGTTAAACAGGCCTCATTGGAGCTGAATGAATGGGCTTGTTGGTGATCCTGAGCCGCCCAATTAAAACTCTTCTGAGAGACGCTGTGCTGGAAGCTGCCAACCCGAACTCCTGGCGTGTCTTAGGAAATGTCCCGATGACTACTGTGCTTTGTTATTTTTGCTATTCCAGTTGCAAACTCACTGGGGTGATCTCCAAAGGAGAAACCATTCTGAGTGTTCAGGGGGAACTTTATGATGATTTTGTTTAAGCTGGCAGTATAGTGGAAGTTCTGCGGGGAAATCCGACGCGTTTTTTTTTTTCTCTCTCTTTTAAACTTTGAGTGGCTTATTTCATGGCTGTGAGTTTCAGGTGTGCAGAGACTCCGCAGGGAGGGCAATACCTTTAGAGTCTTTGTTCCAAGCCGTAATGCTGGGTTTGTGCCGTCGACGTGGCATCTCGCCTCCACCGGCTCCCCTTTCCTTCCAATTCAATTCCAGCCCGAGATAAGTAGCTGGAACCGGTTCTGTCTTCCAGTAAGTAATATCAGGTGTCACAGAACATTTTGCCTTGTAGCTTCCATTACAAGAGGAAATTATCAAAAAAAGTCTGTTCCTGTGTACGGGCTGTTTAAACTGGCGCAGGAACATGCCCTAGTGGTTTTACTCCAAACCTCTGTTTTATTATGTCCATTAAATATTTGTGTCAAATTAAACTAGAGATCTGACATCTGAATTTTGCTATAAGTGAAACATGTTAAATATTCCAGCCTTTTTTCTGTCCAGTCAAACTGATCACCCTGATCACACAGTGGATATAAGTCCTGTGAAGTCGCTGGTCTTGTGCTGAAGCGTGGCTTCTGCATGCCCTCCTCCCCCAAGCGTGGAGACGTGGCGGGGGTGAGCTCCTCAGCTGCCCAGGAGTGATGTCACGGCAGAACACTAAGTATAGCTGCACTGGGTTGGTGGGCAAATGTACAGCCCAGCTATAACCGTGATCGAGAGAGGAGGACTTCCCCTTCCAACCAGGCGCGGTCGCAGTCTGGTTAGAGGCCATGCATGTGTGTCTCTCCGGGGGGCCTGAGGTATCTTTGCGGAGCCTCACCACACCCAGTGTGATTTGGGGGGGGTAGCCATCCCACACGAGCATGTGACAGACTTGTTAGCCAGTGATTTTGGAGAAATGTGTTAAACCGTGTGGGTTGGAGGGCCATCAGCGTATCTGGCCAGCTGAACTGCCACGCTGTGGCCCTCTCCGGCTCTCTGTGGCCCTCTCCGGCACTCTCCAGCTCTCTCCTTTCACGTGTGTTAATGCGTGTCTGGAAGAAGCCTAGAGCTCTTGTTATCGTGATCCACTCCCTTGGCTGGCTAGGACACAGCCCTGCCGTCATGCTCGCCCTGTCTTCTGCTTTGCAGATGTACCTGCTCACCCTGTCTGCGAGCTGCGTTGCAGATGTTCCGCGTTTCCACGCTTCCTCTTTCCCCACAGCAAACGCGCCCTCGTCCACGGCCTCGAGCGAGAGCGTGTGCACCTCTCCCCGGAACATCCCGTTGGTGCATATGCAGAGAAGTATGCAGAGAGCTCACTATGCGCTTAGACGTGAGCAGGCCGAAGGGCGAGGCCCAACCGCGGCGTGTAAACACGATGTGCTCGATGACAGGAAGGAGGTGGGGATTTCTGTGGCTCTGCGGTGACCCCTCAGCCACAGTCAGCGTTTTCTCGCCCGGGACGTGACAGCCAGCCAGAGCGAGATGCACGCTGCTCTCTCTATACTAGACATTTTTATGGATTTCTTTTTTTTTTTTTTTTAAATAATAATTTGCTAATCGCTTTTAGTGCATGCTGGGTCCTTTGTTCGTTTGTCCTTTCCTTACCAGCCCAAACACCCCCGCCCCTACCTGTCTCTCGTCTACCAGCTACCTGACAAACGTACGACCGGCAATGGAACACGTGGGGGGGGTTCTTATTATTTTTGTTGTTGCTGGCTGGCTTGCGGTCCTGTCCTTCCCGTGAACATGTAAGTGTCCCGTATGAGCACAGCTCGCCAGGCTTGGCAACAAAGGGGCGTTTCTCTGTTCCCTCCCTGCTTCTGTCCCCCCGGGTCTCCCACATGTACCTGAGGTTGTCCGAACACCGCGCCCCCCTCTATGAGTCAGCAGGCCGTCATTCCGCTTGATATCGATCCCCCCCCCTGCAGATGTGTGCATTTTATCATAAGATGGTTAGAAGCTTACTGGTCCACCAGGGGCTGCTGCCCTGTCATTGTCCCACACAGGAGACGCTCAGCGATGCACCATAACTTTGCTTGCTTTAGGACAGCTTGTGCCCTCTTTACAGAAATTGGCAGCGATTGCAGCCCTTTCCCTGGCAAAGCTGACTTTAGTGCTGCATTGACTATTGAGTTGACTGTTGCTTCGCCCTGACGGTCAGTTTCCACCCCTCCAGCGCTGACTGTCACGGTCGGAGCTTATACACAGAAACGCAGTGAGTGTAGCTCCTCCGCTCTCCTCTTGTGGCCCCCCCAGGCCCGTGGCGCACAGAGCTTCTACCATTGCCATCTCGCCGCGTCTTCTGGCAGCCCGTGTTCTGCCAGGTGACCCAAGCGTGTAGCTCGGCTGCTGTGCCAGACAGCCATCTGCCAGGGAGCTAATTGCGCTACGGGGGTCTGCAGATCTGCAGGGTGACCCGGGCCGGCCACTGCCAGGACACCCCCGCGTTCCACGGAGGTCTGTCTGCGTCGTGACGGGGAGACCCCTTCCTGACCGGCTTTTCTGCTTTAGCACCAGAAACTGGCTATTAAACCCATCGACAGAGCTGCAGTCGTCTACAAAAGTCCCTGCATTCGGCTCATAATCAGTTTATAACCTTCAATACGGTGCAGTGAAGTATGCATACGTCTCAACTTTCAGCTGTCAGGGGATCGATTTCAAACAGAATGTGTTTCCTGTCTTTTGTCAGGAACGGACTGTAGTGCGGCTGCCTGTAGTTCAGACGGGTGAGCTGTTGGGTGCAGGGATCCCTCCTCCGGTCGAATGCGCTTTCACGGATAAGTGGGCGTGTCATGAGGTCGGTGAGCCAATGGGCTGAGTGGCAGGCGGGATCAGGAATTAACTGACAGCAATCAGCAAATGCTGTACTCACTCTGGAAAATTAATCCTGCAGTAAAGCGTGTTCCTCCTGTCTGGGGTTGGTCTCCAAAGTGCCTGAGGAGAGCTCTCTGTGTGGGGGGGCGTACAGGCTCAGCGGCGGCATGAAGCTGCGGGAGCTGCGGCGAGCGTCCGACCTGTACGCCTTCTGCCTCAGGCGGCACCGTCTGCATAGCAATGGCTCCCAGACTCCAAAAGCCACACGATGACCCAGGGTGTCTGCCCTGAGTCC